CCAGCAGTCCCCCTCAGCACCCTTCCCTCAGTGCCCCCCAACCTGATCTCTCATGTTTCCTTCCCCACCTGCCCTCAGTCCACTCACAAAATCTCTTCTATTTCCCCTTCCCAGGGAGTCTGGGTGGTATATCATCTCTCTTTTCTCAAAAAGATTTGTTGTAGATTTTCTGTGGTGGGGGAGGAGAGATCACATTCTTCATGGAACTCTGTGGTGATATTTTGTTTATGATCTAACAAATAAAGCTTGCCTGAAGATCAAGGTGTAAAGCTAGCCACAGCCTTAGAGGCCAGGCAGTGATAGTACACACCTTTATCCTAGCACTAGAGAGGACTATAAGACAGGAGGAGACAGGAGCTCAAGGAGTCTGAGGTTTGGTGGAGACAGAGGCAGTCTGAGTGAGTCTGAGGACAGGATCACCCCTTTGGTCTGAGCCCTGGTAGAGGTGAGAACTCTCTAGTGGCTGACTGCTTTGCTTCTCTGGTCTTCAGGCAAGCTTTATTTGTTAGATCATAACCAAACTATCACCATAGAACTCTCCTACAGAGCCTTTGGAAAGGCCGTTAGGCAGATGTTCTCAGAGCTAGTGTGTGCTTTTCAATTTCACTGAACAAATTTCTGAGTTTCTCTCATCTTTCCTGTGGTTGTTTGCATGAGAAATGTCCCCAAGCATTTGGACACTTGGTCCCCAGTAGTTAGCACTGTCAGAGTTATTTAGGAGGTACAGTCTTGCTGAAGAAAGTGTCCCCAGAGTTAGCTTAAGACCTCACCCATGTAGATTTTGCTCTCTCTGTTTCCTGCTTACCATAGAGCATGTGAGCACTCAGTCTTATTCTGCTGCCTTACCTGATGCTTGCTGCCTGTTGGTATGCTTGCTACCTGTCAGTTTTCCCCACCCGTGGTCAGACCTTAACCGTACCATCTAGAACGGTAAGACCAAACAAGCTTTCTTCTTAGTTGCCTCTGTCATATTTCATCATAGGGACAGAAAGATAATTTATTAAGTTTTCTTGCTTGTTCCTACCACACCAAGTGCACAGGAAATGGTTACCTTGTCTGCTAGGTAACCCTGACAGCCCTCTCCACTCAGTAGATAATTATTGAGACTGTTGTAAGTAGGCCCTGTCCTGCACCCTGAACAGGTAATTGTTGACACCGTTGTATGTTAGGCCCTGTCCTGCACTCTGAACTCTTAGTTCTAAAAGCTCAAAGGCTGAGGCAGCTAAGCTGGTCACCAGAAAACTGTGATGCAGTTTAATAGCAGCAGAATATCAGTGCTCCTAAAACTAAACAAGTGTGAAGTGTGGTGTAACTACTGATTTGGGGAAGTTGGGTAGTGGAGCTCATTGTACATACCTTTTATAGGCTGGAAATAATAGCCCAGTCAGTAGAATGTTTGGCCAAGTCTCCACGGCCTGGATCAAGTCCTCAGCACTACCATCATGTAAGATTATACACACCTTACAATCTTAACCCTCAGAGGTGGGACAAGAAGATCAGGTGTTCAAGGTCAGCCTTGCTTATGTATTAAGGTGGAGGCCATTGTGAACTATGAGACTGTTTCAAAACCAAAAAGAAGTACGTAACTTTGTGTTTGTGCTAGGTTTATTGCAACTTATAGCAGTCAATGTTTGGTATTGTTTCAAGAATATATTGTAGGAGACACAATCTTCCTAACAGTGGTCTTCCTCATAGTGATCCCATCAGAAGTAATTTGCTCTAAGAGACTAAAATTATCCCGAGGACATGTAACATTGTCAGCATGATCTTAGCTCATAGAGTTGTGAATTTACAATGCGCAACTGGGCGTGACAGACAATATTCTGACTTGGATAATCACATGTTCTCTTTTCATTTCAGAATTTTACTTCTTGTATCATAAGGCCAACTCATGCAAAAGAATAATTATGAAATCCTAATTTGTAAGATGTTAAGGTCATTTAGGAATGCTGTGGCACTTATCCAGTAGCCCATGGCTGATTCAAAATGACTTGCAGTCATTATACTGCACCCAGTCAGTCGTGCTGAGTTTGACAGTCCTGCTTTCAGATTTGTGAGATGTCTTTTTTACTGGGTCTTGGCAAGTGTGCTTCCTGGGGGGTTTCACTCTGCTTCTGTTGAGTGCACCTCTGAGGATGATAAACGCCATGGGCTCTGTCATAGCCTACCCCTTACTTTTTCTCCTGTACACACTGTATGGGTGACATCTTGGTTCCTAACAAGGTAATGAAATCCATTATGGTCTGGTGCCATGCTGTCATACAGTAATGATACTCTAAATACCCCCATGCAGTAAGAGCAGACATGGGCCCCGCAAGGTTGTCTAAGCACTTCTCACAAGGGCAGACTAACTTCAATGCCACTTCAGATCATTCTTCTTTATTTCTTCACAATTAAAAAAAAAGCATTTTATTATTTTATGTGTCTGTTTTGCCTGCATTTTTGTCTTCCTACCACATGTGGCATCAGAGCCACTGGAAATGCGGCTACAGTTATGAACCCAAGTCCCCTGGAAAAGCAGTTGGTGATTTTAGCCAAGAGCTGAATGGGAACAATTGGGGGAGGTCCTTTTCACTCTCCCATTTGTCAGGTTCTCAGAATCCCAGCTGTCCCAAAGGAAGTCATAGATGTATTCTGTATCTACTTTACAGGTTCTGTCAACACCCATTCATCTAACCATTGAAAATCCTGCGGGATGGATCCCTGGGATACAAAGAAACAAGAGATTGCATTAGTTCTCCAGGGACTTGAGGCATTAGTTTAACATGTACCATACATAGGGCAATGTCAGAGAAATAGAACCAGGGATGTATCCAGTGAGTTCTGTGCAGCTCACAGAGATGGTGTCATAGGATCTTGGGGCAGGACAGGTGATGGAATGTAGACCACCCTGGCCTCAAACTCAGAGACCCACCTGCCTCTGCTTCCCGAGTGCTGGAATTAAAGGTATGGGCCACCATGCCCAGCTAGAATGTCCCTTTTTAAGTCTTTGCTTTGGAGCCTTTCAAATCAGTAATGTGTGAAAGTCTGATTTTACATAATCAAAGCCTAAAATATAGGTTGCACAAAATAGAGTCTAGCACTGTGATTCCTTCCATTTCCGGAATGCAGTGTACATAGTGATGTCATAGGAGAGATTGTGAACTCTGGGCTGGGAATGTACCTCGGTGGTGGAACACTTGCCTAGTCTGGTCAAAGTCTTGGGTTTGACCCCTACCCTTACAAAAAAAGACAAAAGAAAGGTTCTTGATTTTTGCTTCATCTTTTGCCTTACAGTGTTTTTTGTTGCACCTGTCTCTGCAAGACAGATTCAGACATCTGAAAGGCGTGTTTAGATTCCAAGGCTGTGTGGCTGCCCTTTGCTCTACTGCACAGGAGCATGTTATCAGTTTCTGCAATCCCTGCTGACCAGAAGAAAACAAGAGTATACAGACTCCTCCCCTCCTGCAGCCATAGCCTTGGGGCTTTTCATGTTTAGATCATAAAACTAATCCTTAATCCTCAATCCCTTGGGAGAATGAGGATTTTCTTTTATGTCCCTAAGAAGGAATTTCTAAACTGGGCTTTTAGAAGAAGGGAATAGTGTCCACCGCCTGGCCTCCCTAGCTGCCAGAGTCCATTCTTAACTGTCTCAGGGCTGTTTTCAAGGTAAAGTATGCACACGTGTGTCCTCTCTCTGCCCAGGAGTGGTATACATGAAGCTAGTTTGGTAACTCATTAGCATAGCAAGCTGTCTCTGCAGCTGCCCTGTCAGAATTGCTGTGGTCTTTATCCCCATTTTATCCTGCCAAACGTGCATGATTTATGCTATTCTGAGCAGCATTGCCATTTAGGGTTTTCACATTTCATTCTTCCGGCTCAGTACATTTGTGTTCTGCTGAGGAGGAAGAAAGGATAACTTTGGCTACAGTTTCTAAAATTAGTCTGAATGATTTGCTTAGCCTGGATAAAGAAACTGAGCCACAGTGAGTTGTTGCTTTTGGTTAACATTGATGGCTTCACCCTGAGATGACAAGAAGCCATTGTGAGAGCTTCCACAGAGTTCTGCATCTGTTTCTTCCACAAGAGACGTCTCTGGTTTTGGTGAAATTGAGTAGAGAAGAGGAATGGGACTCATTAGTTAATAAACATGATGGGTTGTGCAACCTACCTTTAAAAGTAGGCCAAGTAAACTGACAGCAAGATTCTTCTTCATGTGTGGAATTAGTGGTGGTGGTGTTTTGGTTGTTTTTTAAATGTGGGTTCAGTAATAATTCCTAATGTGTTCAGAAATCAACTGATAAACCACCTACCAGAAAAATTATTGGTGTAACATTGTAAGGAGGGGGGCATCGATTGGCATTACATACAAGAGATTGCACGTTTTGTTTTAGCTCAGTGCTCTCTTTTTAGAATCATATGAACAGGGCTAAAGATGAAAATGTAGCTCCATGTGCTTGCCTAACAAGTACTAGGTTCTGGGTTCAATTCCCAAAGGGGAAGAAAAAAGGTGAGGGAGCTGTCATATGAGCCTAGTCCAGTTGCTTTTAAACCTGTGACATTTATAATTCTTTTATCAGAAATAATGCCTAGAAACTTAACATTAAAAAGGCTCAAAAACATCAAAAGGAAACCTGGAAATGATGGGGTGGAGTTTCACAGTGGCATCTCTGCAGGCCCGAGCAACAAAGTAGCAAACTTGATGGAGAAAACAGTCGCAAAGATATCTGTACTTATAAATCAGATACAATGTCTTATTTTCTGTTAAAATGAATGGTCCACATTATGGCCTTGTGAGTTATTGCCCTGGTGAGCCTGGGATTTGAGGTCTTCCCCAGTGTTGGCTGACCTTTTGTTGAAAGGTGGAAGCCATCTCTGACTATGCTTTTTAAAAGTTGTATCTTTGTGTATTTCACAAAAATTTTACATGTGTTGGGGATTTAAGAGCCATGTAAGTAGAAAATGGTCTTGCAGACCTACAATGCATAAAATATAACAATATGCTTATGATTTCTCTTCAGGAATTCCTCAGATCAAAACTAATTGCAGAGTTTCCGGTTGACCAGCATTCATAGGGTAAGATGAACATTTCTAGTTGCAAACACATGGCAGAGATTATTATAATTTAGCTGGTAGCTTGGGGCAAAAAAGAATACAGAGAAAGAGTGCCATACTTACAGATGTTTTGAGTAAAATCACTTTGATATTTTTAAACTGGTTAAGCAGAAATTTAAATCTGTGTTATTTTAATTCAAATATCTTCCCACCCTTGTGGGTTTTATATGCAGAAATGTGTATGTTAAAATTGGTTACTTTTTTCTTAACCACTAAAGATCGAAGGAATATAATAATCTAAGGAATTTAGACTCCATGCCTATGTATTTTATTTCCGCATGTTTTCCTTTTTATTGTTCCACTGGTTAATTGATTGAGACACTCTCTTGTATAGCAGGCTGATCTCAAACTCACTATGTAGCCAAGGAAGGCCTTGAACTTCTGACTCTCCTGACTCCAAATGCTGGGATTTCAGATGTGTACCATCGTGCCTCTATGCACTGTTAGAAATTGTGCCTAGCCCTGTGCATTCTGGGTAGACACTGTACCAAGTGAGCTCCATACTGAGCTCTCACATTTAATTTAGTCATTTGCCATGTTTCTGTAAGATAACTACACGTCTTGAGTGGGCAGGTCAGAAATGCAGGCCCTGTGCATGTTTGCTTCCAGAAGATGTTGGTCCTCTTTCATAATTATGGAAGGTTTGCCTTACATAGCTCTGTGGCAGAGCATTTGACACTGATGGGTGACATTGCTCACTGACTTCAGCAGCAGGACTCCAGATTGTGAATACAGTCTTTAAAATATCCCCCATCTCTGAACATAGGCAGGGCTCAAGAGACTCGATGGTAAGGCAGTGAGATGGTCTTCATTCCATTCTAGAAATAATTTTTCAGACAAAGATAAAAATCCAAGTTGTAGGCATGTGTTTCCAAGCCAATCTGTTGAGTTGCCTGAGTCTTTAAAAGCTTAGAACAGGTTTCGCTGCTCTGCTGTGTCTGACTGTTTAGTGGCCTCTCCATCACTTCTGAATTGTTTCATATCCAAATGTATTGCCTTGGCCTCAGGCATGCTGTCATCCTCCTCCTTGTCCCAGTCTCCTAGCTTTAGCCCAAGTGCACTCCTGTCTTACCCTCATGCCTCCCAAGCTTATGTAATGGGATGATCTTCCTCAGTGGGGCTGAGTAAGGAGCACTGACTCTCTTTGAATCTCTTCTTGAAATTTGTCATCTTCATGGTGCATCTGGTCTTGCCACATCTGTTTGCTTGGTTATTGTTCCTTCTCTTCCTACTCAGTGAAACACATAGGGGCAGAGACCTCATCAACTGAGGATTGTACTCAGGGCCTTGTGCACGCTGGGCAAACATTCTTCCACTGAGAATCTTTCATAGTGCACTGTCTGTCTTGTATGCCTGTATTTTCTAAGACTTAGGTCTGTTTGTTCATAACAGGCATTGTCTACTCTTGGAGCTCCTTTTGGCTGGTGCTGCTTTCAGGAACATTCCATCCATTCCCTTTCTGCATCTTGTTTGCATAGGAGCCACTCATACAATCTAGTAGGTTAATCCCATTGCCCCACTTATTTGGTCTCTACGAAGTCTGGAGAAGATGGCGTCCCACTTTCCATCCTCCCTGTCCTCTCCACAGCAGGATTGCAGTCCCAGGAGAACAGAGGGAAGACTGTTCTTGTTCTTCCTTATCCTGGCATGCCTGCTCTCCATAGCTGATCTACAGCTGAATATACAGATGTCACCCCACAGAAAGGGTTTATGTTGAGTGGCTGCTTCATGCTTTTCAGTATTTTTCAGGTATACTAGTTTGTCTATCCCAGATCTAAAAATCTCTCTCTCTCTTTTTTTTTTTTTTTTTTTTTTTTTTTTTTACACTTTAAAAGGGACAATAACAAATGTTTTCTTGAGTGTATTTGTTGCGTCATGTTTCCAGGGAAGACTATTATCAATGTTTTCAAGCTCAGCCCTGGGCTGTAACCCAGGTTCTGTTACCTTTTGTCTGTGGAGAAGCAACTTAACTGTTCTGACCGTGTTTATTTATTCAATAAAGAGTGGATTCTGGTTTCTGTAGTCCACATGACTGCTCTCTGAAGGATGTAGAAGGATGACACATTGCTAACTGATGTCCTCTTTTCTCTGTATGGTAACCTGAAAGGAGATGCTGTGACAAGAAACTGTTGGGGGCCTGGGTGCAGCCCTATCTTATTAAGGCTTCTTACTCTGGGGTTTTGGGGAGTTGGCCGGGAAAATATTTTTTAAAATAATGAGAAATAATGTAGAATTCCAGCTTGCCTTCCTATGCCACCTCTGTGAGAATTATCCACCCACCAGTAAATTATACTTCCAATAATACAAGTTCTGTAATTTAAAACATGTTTTAGAGTCCATATGTTCACACATAACTGTCATCCCAGCATTCAAGAAACTGAGGCAAGAGAATCATAAGACCCAGGTTAACCTTGGCTACATAAGATGCCCCTGTCTCCGTAAAAACTCCAAAGCCAAAAACCAATTGTACCGTTTTAGATTCAGAGTAGATAATATAGTGGCTTACTAAATGCATTACCAGTTTATGATATTTTCAAACAGACCATCATGTGATGTATTCTATAGCTTGCAGAAACAGGGAAGAGCAAACCTTCCTTAGCCTTCAAAACCTTAGAGCTAGGTGCAGTGGGGCACTTTAATCCCAGCTCTCAGGGAGCAAAGGCAGGTGGATCTCCGAGATCGAGTCCAGCCTGGTCTTCAGAGCCTGGTTTGCCAAAGAGACAAACAAACAAAAACAAAAAAGATCAACTCAGGTCCAGTGGGATTTCAGTATCTTTAGTTTATATCTTTCATATTCAACTTAACTTTATTTGTTCAGTACTTTTCTCCTAGGGCTTCCACTGAATTAGTGATTTTTATCCAGAACATTATTTATGATTGCCTAACAAACTCACCAGGGAGTTACCAAATGACCATTACTTGTCTCCATTTGCTTTTTCTGTTGGCTGAAACTCTGACCCCTGTGCCCACAGAGTATTGCCTTCCCTGTCTTCCCGGATCTGGCCAGCTCTCCATATCTCAACAACAATTTACCAGAGTGAAAAGATTCCTCTCAAAGAAGTCTTTTCCAAAGGCCTGTACTTCCCTGGGTGGTCATGGCATCCCACAGTGGGTTATGACCCTGTTACTAGTTTTTATGCTAACAGGATCTCTAAGGTAGAGCCTTAAGTGACATAGGCTTTCTGAATCTGTGACCCAGAATTTCCTCTTGGGAATCAGCTTCATTGATGGTCAGCCAAAAGAACCTCTTTGACACTGGAAGGGACTCAGTTAAAAGTCCAGGGTGGGCTCTGGGTCACAAGAGTGGCTAAGTGCAGCCCTCTGACTAAGGCATGATGACATCCCAGCAGGCATCCCAGCAAGACACCATGTGGAACAGAACTTCAACACTCGACAAAATCATGGGAAATAATGAAATGTTTATTTTAGATTCTGAGATTCAGTGTGGGTTTTTTTTTTTTTTTTTTTGGACAGACCAAATAACAGTGGCAGAAAGTGGTATCTTGAAATGCATGCTACCATAATGAAATACATGGCCCTGGTACAGCACATAGCTGGTAGAGAAGTCCTTTAAGCTTGCCTAGTGAAATAGTCTTCATGGTGGTCAAGGGCCAGTAAGGAAGCTGCTACTTGAAGATGTAGAATGGTATCCTTGTTTTGTTTGGACAGAGCGTTCAGCAAACCATCACCTATGTGGGACATTGGCAGAGCACTGGAGGCTCCTTTTCTAGCCACGGTGATCCAAGTGTTGAGAGGAAAATGGATTAAGAAATGTTCAGATTTTAAGCAGGATTTAGAGGAAATATTTCCTGTTTAAAATTGTTGAGGATCCTAAGTTTTTTTTTTTTTTTTTAATTCCTTAATTCTGTACCTCACAAAAGGGCTTAAAAAATTAAATGATCTCAGGTGCAACGATCAGATTCAGGGTGACACTGTCAGAAATACCTGATTTCACAGTAAAATTAAAAGTAAGGGCTCATGTGTAAGACCCTCAGTGGAAACTTGAAAGTAAATTAAGGCAGCATCCTCTCTATCCTCTCTCTCAACCAGATGTGACACCATATGTGATGCACTGTTGCACCCTGAACCTGATTTAGATGACTTGATTGCATGGTAGGGTGAAACTTTTGCAGAAGAGTGAGTGTGCTTTGCATGTGGAAAACATGTAAATCATTTATGACTAGAAGATTGCTGGAGCATAGCCTGAGGATTTATTGGTACAAAAATGTGCAGCCTGCTTCCTTTCCCCTCCTCCCGTGCTAGCCTGAGACTTCCTTGTTAAGTAGTTTGTTTGAACAGAGAACTGTGTAGGTTCAAGAGTTAGCACCAGCTTCCTTACAAGTGTATGAGGACATTTTGGGCTGGCCAAAACTATTACAGAAAGACCTCAATGAATGAAATAAATCAATAAAATCTCAATAAATGAAACCTGTGTGGTATTTGAGCCATCAAGATAGAGTGGAGAATAGTTAGCCAAAGCCTTTGCACCCCCGGGTTCTTGCTCTACTGCCTACTTGGCTTATCTCCGAGAATATGTCCTGCACAAACATCTGAATGTTATTTTCCTGCAGTTTGCATTTATGCTTGTCCAGTTTGTTATACAAATATGTGTCCCATCTTAATGTGTTAAAACTGTAAGATCCTATAATGACAGCAAACAGAAATCTAAATTCGTCTGATTCATTTCTTTCTGAACTTCTGACTGATCTTATTAGGAGGTAATTAATTTGAATGTCACTGACTGCATTTATTAACTTTCTGTGACAAAATACTTAGGACAATCATCAACAAAATTTGGGGCCATGTTCTTGGAGGTTTCAGTCCCCAATTGGTGGCCTTACTGCCTCGGGCCTGTGATGACCTGGCAAGCCATGATAGAATTCTATAGAGGAAACCCTTGCTTTCAATTGTGTGTCTGAGATCAAAACCCCAGATCTTTGAAGTAGCAACAAGTTCTCGGCACATAATAACCGAATACCATGTGATCATTGCTTGTTTATTTTCATTAGTTATTTTGGAAATTATTTCAAAGTAAAAGAGGGACTGCTGGGAAATCTAGCTGCCTAACTTGAGTGTTGTTGTTCCAGTCTTGGAGACATTGGGATGAGGTTGTCTGATGAATTCATATGCTTTGAAGAGCTTTGATGACTTTTTAATGAGATTTAAAAGCTGAAGGAATGGGATTGGGACCATAAAATCCATTACTCTTCACATTATTTCTTTGAAGTGATTTAGTGCATTTGTGTGTTAGGATTGGAGATCTCATTTGGACTGAATCCTCTTCATTGTTTGCTAATATGTGGTCTGGAAAAGGTTTAAGGCACAAACAGCGTTTGCTGACATAATAGCTCCAACTCTGAGCACATCAATTAGAGGAATCGGCGTTAGATACAGGAGGACCTGAGACTTTTCATGTATCTGTAAACTCTGATGCAGGATTTAAGGGTGAAATCAGTTCAACAGGGAATCTTTAGCTATGAAGCGTGTTACATGGTATGTGACTGTGTAACTGGAAAAGTCACAGAAAACAACACTTGGACCCTTGTTTCTGGGACTATAATAAAACTCAGTCCTGATGCAGATGCCGGGCAAAGAACTAGGCAAAGAGCTAAATAGCCTTTTCTCTAGCTTTTGAGACGTGGCATAATTAATTAGATTTGTTGAGGTCATATGATCTGTGGACAAGGCTTATAGTCTGTATTCCAGTTGTAATTGTTTTTCCCTGACAGTTTTGTTACATTGGGTAAGGGGACTTTTGGGGGGCCAGTCTTGTTTTCCATGTTTATAATACATGAAGACCTAGTATTTATCTCACTAGCTTGTTTAAAGTAGATGCTGAGAATGGCTATTATCTACTGCAAGGTAAAGTAGTATTAACACAAAGGCTGACTATATCAAATGATATCAATTTGGGGAAATACAGCTGTACTTCTAAACCCTGTGAAAAAAATATATTTTTTACCTTGTGATGGATGAACTCAGTAGGCGAGGTTTTTTTTTTTTTTTTTTAACACTGAGTTCTTATTTGAGAAGATACATGGTTTTAAGTTAGAATAGAAATTTACAGATTCAGTGAGTCATCTGACAAATGCAAATAAGACATTGCATATGAGGCGGGACAAGAGAGATTAACATATGAAAAATACTTGGGAAAGGCTAAATGTTGTAGAGAATTTTTAAATATAGCACACTGAAAGTTTTGCAGAAATTTCTCCATAATAAAAAGGAAGTCCAGGGATGGGTATAGTCTGAGGCATGTGGGTGGGGTCCTGTCTACAGAGCTTTGCCAGGATATATCATAGGTGGGAATGAACTGACTATGAAATGTATTTTTGTGTGACATTTGATGGAGAGTGGCTCTAGAAACAATATCTCCCAAGATATTTCTGCTTCCTCATAGAATGAAGACAAACTCAGAGATGGTGTGTCTAAGAAACTTCAAAAGATGCAGACCTCCTGATTGAAGCCTGGTTGGGTTGATCCATTTCTTCATGATAGTAAGTATAAATGCATACAATGTTGTTGTCAATGTCATTGTTGGCTTGTAGTCTTCGTTGAACAATCTCACTCCCTGTCAGATACTTGAATCATTGCCTGAGCTGCTATTTCTGCCCAATATCAGTTTGAGATGTTAAATGACCATAACTCTCAAGAAATGTAGGGGATGAATAAGTTCATAAACTCAGGCTCTAAAAATCTTCAGAGATGATATGATTCACTCTTATTTTCCATTACAAGAAATTTGCAGTGTTTCTGGTGGACAGTCATTTTATCCATCAAGACCCAGTGAGGGTCTTGTTTAAAGAGGGTCAATTGTTTAAAAAACATTCACTTTATGTGATGCTCTACCAATATATAAATAAAGCCAAATGACTGGTATCACATGGTAGCACATACCTATAATTCTACCAGAAATTCAAGGCCAGCCCTGGCTACATAACAAATTTAAGCCTGCCTGGGTTACATGAGTCCCTCCCTCCCTAAAATGTCTTTCTTTATAAACCTTCTACTCACCTAGTTCTGCCTCTGAACAAATCCACATTTGCTGTCATCCATGAGGTACATTTTGCCACTTCTTAAAGGAGATAAAAAATATCTATTCACCTCAGATAAGGTACCAATAGATCAAAGAAAATTATTCCATCCAGCCCTGCTTGATAAACCAGGGAGTGTGTTTGGGGTTACTGCCAGGAGAAGGCAGCAAATCACAAAAAACTGCAATACTGAAAAAAAAAAAAAAAGTTCCTATATCCCCCTAATTCTCCATTTGCCCCCAATTCCAACCCCCATCATCCTTCCACCCCTTGTACCAGCAAACTCAAACACTGTGCACAGACCCAGAAAGGAGCACCTGTGGGAGTAGGAGGTAGACTCTCTACTAGGGGTCTGGTGATAGTCCTTACCCTTCCGGGAGGCAATGTCACCAGCCCCATTACTGCATCATAGGCCTTGCCATCACTGTTCCATGTTGCATATGCCATTGCCATGACTACATAGCCAATGTATTCTGTTGGTCACCAGAGCAGTCTCTTATCCATGGTGGCCACTGGGTCATTTCAGGTTCTAGTGTGCACAAAAATGTTCCTTTCTGTCATCCCTGCTGTCATCCTTGCCTCGAGTTCCTCCGTAGTGGATGGTTTGAGGTAGCCACTCCTGATCCTTTTGTTGTCCATTTTGTCTTTAACTGAGTGTTAGGTTCTAGCGTGAGCTTACTAAGTAGGAACAAAGCTGCTACCCCCCTGTCTGGGATCACATAAATAGGGCCAGAGGTAGAGGCAGTATTAAAGTATAGCAGATATCGAATCATTGGCTAAATGTCTGCACACTTGGTTAAAATTCATGAAGTTGTTCTTTCCATGTTATTTCATCCAGTAATGTTCTCTAAGAACCTTTTCTATTGTGTTCTTGGTATTTTTTTTAGCAGAACATTCTGTCTAATCCTTGAGATTGGGATGGAAGGCAAGGTTATTTTGCTTTGACAAAATTATGGTTAACTGCAGCAAGAGTAAGACATAATGAGAAGAATTAAGTATCAGATCTACTAACCCTGAAGAAAGGAAGAAAGCCCTGGTGAATGTTGTAGTCTAACTATAGATCTGTGGAAGATGTTGAATACATTTCAGATTCTATTCCAAGAGTGGATACAAATGAAAAGTGAGCCTCCATCCCAGGAGGTAAAATTAGGGACCAAGGGTGTCTTATGTGGGGGAGCAAGCAAGAATATGTAGTCAGATGGACAGAACATGCTGAGGATGCTTGCACAAGAGACTACTGGGACTTAGATTGTAGCACTCCTGGGATTCAAGGTTGAGTACACATCTCTCTAGGAGGACTAGTGAGAACCAAGGAGAAATCAGTGGAGATATCACTGCTGAAATGGTACGCAGAGAGTAACCAAGGCCCAGAGAAGGTGATAACTTAATACTCAAGAAGGCTAGAAGAAGCCCTTGGACACAGGGTAGGTCTGCCCTGCCAGCTACCATGATTTTTGTTGTTGTTGTTGCTGCTGTCCTAATTAGGATTTCTATTGCTATGAAGAAACACCATGAGCTCAGTAACTCTTATAAAGGAGAACATGTAATTGGGGTTGACTTACAGTTCAGGCAGCGTGCAAGCAGACATGGTGCTGGAGTACTAGCTGAGAGTCCTACATCTTGCAGGCAACAGGAAATCAACTGAGACACTGGGCAGTATCCTGCTCATTGGAAACCTCAAAGTCCGCCCCCACAGTGACACACTTCCTCCAACAAGGGCATACCCACTCCAAGAAAGCCACACCCCCTAATAGTGCCACTCCCTGTGAGATTATGGGGGTCAATCACATTCAAACTACCACAGTAGTTGTCCTGCAAACACTTTGTAAGATCCAACCGCTTCCCTGTCTTACAGGCCATCTTCCCTGCCATCTTACAGGCAGTCTGGATGTTGCTGATTTAGCTTTTGAGAATTTGACCCATTACTTCTCACCCTGTTTTACCCTTACTGTAGTCAACCATAATTTGTGTCAAGGTGACATAACCTTGCCTGTCGTTCTGACCCCAAAAGGAATGCGTGAGCTAAGTAGAAAATTCTCATTCATCCTAAGCCCCAAAATACCATGAACACAACAAAAGGGGGAGATAGCTTACTTTAAAGTGTCAGCTTTTTAATGCCTTGTTTTTGACACCATTATCATGTGTGTCCCTTTAGCTCTGTGCTGTCACAGGAAACATGGAGTTCCCTTGTTCTCTTCGGGGCTTCTCTCCACCACTCCCCTTTTAAACCATTACTGTTCTTTCCCCCACTTTAATGCTCTATAGCACTCACACAGTCTCGTACAAAGTTACATAGTGGAACCCTGAGGAGAAGGGAAGTTCATGTGGCCATTTGCTTTGTGAGGAAAGAGTAGAAGCCTCCAAGCCTGAGGGATGCATTTAGGAGGCAGAGATTGCTGAAAAAGCCACCTTGTGGTGGTTGAATGAACTCTGAGGTGGTAAACAACACTCCACACACAGAGTCTGCCTGGAAAGAGCTTATTCAGGGTTTTTGAAGGTAGAACACATAGTATAAGAACAGCTAACCCAGCCTTGGTGTTAAAACCCAGGAGGTAACTGAAGAACTGCCTCAAAGCTGCCCCGAATGCCTTCTATAGATGTGTCACCAAGCTTTACAATTCCTCCGGAGTTTTGCTTCACTGCTAAAGTGTTAGCATTAAATGCAGGCACTGTGGCCTCATGTGGGGGTGCATATGTGTAATCCCAGCAATCGGAAGGTAGAAGCAGGAAGGTTGGGAGCTTAAGGAGAAGCCTCACCTACATGGTGAGTTTGAAGCCAGCCTGGTCTACACAGACACAAACAAAAAAACAAAAAAGGTGTGTTGGAATGATTTCAGCAGGATTTCTTTTGTTTCCTCCTCCAGTTTCTGTTCTCTACAAGGGAGTCATGATTACACTAACAGAGTTAAAATACTTAGCAGATGCCCAGGCATCCTATCACATATTGAAGCCATGGTGGGATGTCTTCTGGTATTACATCACACTCATCATGCTATTGGTAGCTGTGCTGGCTGGAGCGCTGCAGCTTACCCAGATCAGGGTTCTTTGCTGTCTTCCATGCAAGGTGGAGTTTGACAATCACTGTGCTGTGCCTTGGGACCTCCTGAAAGCCAGCAAGAACATGTCCTCTAACTCAAGCATGCCGCACCCACTGCCACTCCGGATCCAGAATGACCTTCATCGGCAGCAGTACGCCTACATCGACGCTGTCTGTTATGAGAAGCAGCTCCACTGGTTCGCCAAGTTTTTCCCCTACCTGGTGCTTCTGCACACACTCATCTTCGCAGCCTGCAGCAATTTCTGGCTTCACTACCCCAGCACCAGCTCCAGGCTGGAGCACTTCGTGGCCATCCTTCACAAGTGCTTTGATTCTCCGTGGACCACACGCGCCCTGTCCGAAACTGTGGCCGAGCAGTCAGTGAGGCCCCTGAAACCCTCCAAGTCCAAAACCTTGCTTTCAACCTCAGGGGGTTCTGCTGACACTGATGCCAACAAGCAGACATTGCCCTACCCACAGCCAGGCTTGGAGTCACCTGGCATAGAAAGCCCCACTTCTAGTGTCCTGGACAAGAAGGAGGGTGAGCAGGCCAAGGCCATCTTTGAGAAAGTGAAAAGGTTCCGCCTGCATGTGGAGCAGAGGGACATCATCTATCGCGTGTACCTGAAGCAGATCATAGTCAAAGTCATCCTGTTTGTCATCATCATAACTTACGTCCCATATTATTTAAGCTACATAACTCTTGAAATTGACTGTTTGATTGACGTGCAGGCATTCACAGGCTACAAGCGCTACCAGTGTGTCTATTCCTTGGCAGAAATCTTTAAGGTCCTGGCGTCCTTTTATGTTGTTTTGGTGATACTTTATGGCCTCACCTCCTCCTATAGCCTCTGGTGGATGCTGAGGAGCTCCTTGAAGCAGTACTCCTTCGAGGCACTCAGAGAGAAAAGCAACTATAGTGACATCCCCGATGTCAAGAATGATTTTGCCTTCATCCTCCACCTGGCCGACCAGTACGACCCCCTGTACTCCAAACGCTTCTCCATCTTCCTGTCGGAGGTCAGTGAGAACAAACTGAAACAGATCAACCTCAACAACGAGTGGACTGTAGAGAAACTGAAAAGCAAGCTTGTGAAAAACTCCCAGGACAAGATAGAGCTGCACCTGTTCATGCTCAGCGGTCTTCCAGATAATGTCTTTGAGTTGACGGAGATGGAAGTACTGAGCTTGGAGCTCATCCCCGAGGTCAAGCTGCCGGCCGCCATCTCTCAGCTTGTTAACCTCAAGGAGCTTCATGTATACCATTCCTCTCTGGTAGTCGACCATCCTGCCCTGGCCTTTCTAGAGGGGAACCTGAAAACCCTCCGCCTGAAGTTTACTGAAATGGGAAAGATTCCACGCTGGGTATTCTACCTGAAGAACCTCAAGGAGCTATACTTGTCAGGTTGCGTTCTCCCGGAGCAGCTGAGCACCACGCAGGTGGAGGGCTTTCAGGACTTGAAGAACCTGAGGACCCTCTACTTGAAGAGCAACCTGTCCCGGATCCCTCAGGTGGTGACAGACCTGCTGCCCTCCTTACAGAAGCTGTCCCTGGATAATGAGGGAAGCAAACTGGTTGTGCTGAACAACTTGAAAAAGATGGTCAACCTGAAAAGCCTGGAGCTTCTGAGCTGTGATCTGGAACGCATCCCACACTCCATCTTCAGTCTGAACAACCTGCATGAGCTGGATCTCAAGGAAAATAACCTGAAGACGGTGGAGGAGATCATCAGCTTCCAGCACCTTCCAAGCCTTTCTTGCTTGAAGCTTTGGTACAACAATATCGCTTATATCCCTGCCCAGATAGGAGCGCTGTCCAACCTGGAACAGCTCTTCCTGGACCACAATAACATCGAGAGCCTGCCCTTGCAGCTTTTCCTGTGCACCAAACTACAGTACCTGGATCTGAGCTATAACCATCTGACCTTCATTCCAGAGGAGATCCAGTACCTGACCAATCTGCAGTCCTTCTCCGTGACCAACAACAATGTGAGCCAATCTGTTCTTAGTTATGCTGAGCTTGGGGGTAGGAGGGTGACACTGGGAAAAATCTGTGGGGGGGGGCGGTTAGGAGGCTGTCCACCCTAAGCATTCTCCTGACTGAGCCTCATTCCCTGTGATCTTGATAATTAACCCTAGCCCTGAGTTTTAGAATCTCATCTGACAATTGATGGTGGAGATTCTATAACACATTTAGGCATCAGCATACTTCCTAACCCACAATAGTTGCTCAACAAATGTTCTCTTTACTGTTTTTCCCTATTTTCTGCACAAATACCACTCATTAATTAGCGGTGGTAGAGCTGAGTTTTGTTTGGGGAGGCCTTGAGTACTTAGAAAGCTTGGCAAGACAGTTCAGAATGAAAGGCCTGGCTCCATAGTGCAACCCTCAGCCTCCTTGGAGTCTATTTCCAGCATCCACACTTAAAATGAAATGGTTAAGGAAAATGTAACTTCACTGAAACAAGGGGGAAAAAAAGAGTAATTTCCTGGATTAAAATATGAAGTAGGAGGACAAAGAAAAAATATCCTGCTAGTGTGATGGGCCAAAGAATGAGGATAATGGATATGTGAAAGGGAGGGCTGAAATCCAGTCTTGGAGAGACGGAGAGTGGGCCTTTCTTCAAATGCATCCCAAAGTATGTATCTTCTACCCTTACATTTGGACAACATGGATATTAAAAAGATGCCAGAAAATTGAGATGAGAAGGAAGTGCATGTTGCTTTTTTAGAATGTTGAGATTCAGACATAAAAGCAGTGTGCCCAGCCTGTGGCAGGTGAGAAATCCCTCAGTGTGAGCTTTTAAAGTTACACTAGGCTGTGGGCTACTGCATCTGCTTATATCGGTTACTGGATGTAGGTTCTATGATGACAATTAGGGTAGTCACTAATCTGATTACAGAGGAAGGCCAATTTAGACACCCTCTCCCCTATTGCTAGGAGTCTTAGTTGCGGTCATCTTTGTGGATTCCTGGGAATTTTCCTAGCACCTGGTTTCTCCCAAACCCCATAATGGCCTCCTCTATCACAATATCTCTTTCATTGCTCCTCCTCCCCATCCCTTCCCCAACCCAGTCTTCTTGAACCCTCATGTTTCCATCCCCCATCCCCTCCCTTCTACCCCCCCTTCCAGTTTGCCTAGAAGATTTTAACTATTTCACCTTCCTGGGGCCCTCCTTGCGTGTCCCTTTTAGGAACCCGCTTTTTACCTAGCATCTATATCTTTGTGGTGTGCTGGGCTGAGCTCCTGGAGCTTAGTTGAAGAGAGGGAGGAGGAGGAATCATATGAGCAAGAGGAAGAGGTCAAGATCATGATTGGGAAAACCAGAGAAACAGCTGACCCGAGCTAGTGGTAACTTTCTTGGACCACCAGCCCCAAATCATGAGAGAATTATTATTAGTTATGAATGCTCAACCTTAGTTTAGTCTTATCCCACTAGTTCTTATAACTTATTTCAACCTTTTCTTTTCATCTATGTTTTGCCCTGGGACTTTTCATCTTTCCTCCTGTATGTCCTACTCCATGTCTGCTGGCTGGCCTCTGGCATCTCCCTCTCTTTCCCCCTTTTTCTTTCTCCCCAGGCTAGATTCCTCCTACTTATTCTCGCTGCCTGCCAGCCCCGCCTATCCCTCTAGTACCAAGCTTTTGGCTGTACAGCTTTTTATTAGACCAATCAAGTGCCTTAGGAAGGCAAAGTAAAACAGTTGCAACACATCTTTACATAGCTAAACAAATGCAGCATAAACAAATGCAGCACATCTTTACACAGTTAAATATTCCACAATAAGAATTATTATATTGTCATTTATAACCAGATGGCAATTGGGTATAGACACTCCACAGTTTTTTTTTTTTTTTTTTTTTTTTTTTTAAGTTAAGAAAGTTACAAGTTTTAACTAGCTGGTTGCTGGTTATGCTTTTCAGGACATGATTAGACAAATTAAGACCATTAGTGCCTTTGATGCCAAGTTCCCTGACTTCCTGGCCATGTCTGAAAGAGACAGAGAAATCAGACAAATGCTATCATGAATAAAGAAGGATACTTTACAGCATAAGGAAGTCTTAGGCCAAATACCCGACATGGCCAAAGCAGAATGGTCTATCCTCATGTGCCTTGTCTCCAAAACCTGAGCAGGGGCTGTAGAAGGACACTTTTCTTCATCCCGTTAGTCCCTCCACCCACCAGGCTCTTGAAGCCGCTATGCAATAACCACTCAGAGACTTAATATAGATGTATAATTGTTTGACCAATGATGCAGGCTTATTATTGGCTAGCTCTCTCTTAATTATTATCCCATTTCTATTAATCTGTGTATCCTGCCTCTCTGGTGGCTACATGGTATGGTGTTTGTTTCTGTCTTGCTCCACCCTGCCTCTTTGCTCGGAATTCCCAACTAGCTAAATTCTGCCTGTTCATTGGCCAAAACAGCTTTATTCATCAACCTAGAAACACCTAGTCACAGCATACAGCCGCCTCCCCCATCAAGGCTCCTATTGTTATGTATCTCAGGGTGAACATGACACCTGTAAATGGGTCAGGAATCCTTTGTCCAGAGTGCAGAGTCTAAGAGACTGAGAGCCAGTGAGAAGGGAAGTTTCAGGGAGGCATTTCCCCTTAGTCCCCCACCACACTACCATGTCAAGTATGTGTATGCAGGCAACCCTAATTAAAGGCAGTAGGTCACAAAAAAAAAAAAAAAATCATACAAGTTATCCTCTGACCACCACACTTGTGTGGCTTACAGGCACCCAATCACATAAACACACAATCAATCAATCAATCAGTCATTCAATTGCACAAAAGTAGGAGGAGACTTGAGAAAAGGTGGTTTAGTGGGAGGGGGAAGAGGTAAAAGAAGATAACGGGAGGGACTGTCATCAAAGAACAGTGTGTATTAGGAACTGTGAAAGAGTAAGTACTTCTTAAAAAGTACTGTTTTAAGAAGGAAGCCACCCACTCACTGATGGAACAGTGTGGTATGACAGTGGGAAGTAGGGGGAGGCAGAGAGAATATTCTTCAGTGTTAGTGTTCAAATAGTTGAACAAATCTTGTTGGTGACAGCTACAAGTGTGAGAATAGAACAGTCAGAAGAAGATTTGTCACCTGGCCACACGGTTCCAGAAAAAGGAGTTGACTTATGGCCAAAACTGACCATACTTACCAGCCACCCAGTGAGATCATTGTTAAAGGTGGACATTGCGTGTTCATGTGAAGATACAGATATCTAGGTACCATCTAATCTTGAAGCTCTCATGGTTCTAAAGGGGAAACTAAAATATTTATGAAATTATATGCATTCATAATGGATGCATACATAGGCATTGTAATGTAAATAAGATACATTCACTGAGAGGATAACAAGCTTCTCGTAGTTTCACTGGAAAGTTAACTCTGCAAAATCAACCCTGGTGGACAACAGACTGTCTTGGAGAAAGTAAAGCAGACTGCAGGGAAGAGACCAGAGCCGAGATCAAGCACAGGGCAGTGTCACGTCCATGCTGAGCCCGGGTACTGTTCTGCATCTGGACACTACTAAAGAGAAGCTCCTTGTCATTGTCCTTTCCCTGCAGCAGCCTTGATTTCAAGCTCAGATGTGAGCATCTGATTCTCTTCCTGGATGCCCTATTCTCTAGATGCAGGGGACCAAGGGACACGATTCTGGTAGTGGCATAGTCTTCGTCCCACAAAGCCATGGATAGAGTCTCCAAGTCAGGATGGTCCTCAGGGGACAAGTGTTAATGGCAGAGCCCCCAGCACAGGAGGGTAAAAAGGTTCTCATAGAAAATGGCCAGTGTTTGTCTTTGAACCCTGCTATCACCCCAGATTCCTTGGTGCCTTTAACATGAAAACATACTTGCTTCTCTAAGAGGCGATTGGATTTGCCACATGTGTTTGAACAAGAAAGCTTTTTCTTAGGAACTTGTGGGAAAACTGTTCCATGAAACATATTAATAACTAATGTAAAAATGGAGATGTCATGTGTGATTCAGTCTAAAGGGACGTGTTCAAAGAATTACATATGATTTTGTGAAACTGTTTTTGAAAATAGGATCTCATTTACTTTCACTTTACACCACCAAGACTGATCTTGAAACCCCTCCTGCCTCTACAGAGTGCTACCATTACAGGCACACACCACCACACCCAGTTTATGCCCAGCTAGAAATCAAACCCAGGGTTTCAGACATGTTAAACAAGCACCCCAAACCCAAGAATCATTTTTGTAAAGCATACTGTTCTAAGACAAATGTGTTTGGTGTTATGAACTTGAAGGTAAAGTAATTTTTTAAAAATGTATTTTAATTCAAGATAGAATTAGTTAATTGAAGGCAAAGCTCCTCTTCCTAATTTAGGAATTAGATTAAGTCAGTAAATTAGGACCCTGCACCTCAGCTGAGCACTGGACTGGACAGAGAGCCCCTTTTAGATGACCTGCAGCTCATAGAAATGGGTACTGCCAACTCAGACCACAGTGGTGCAGGCCCTAGTAGCCCCTGGCATTGTCCCAACCCCAGAGACTATCCACTTCCTCGCACATTCCCTCTCTATTGATGCCTTCAGAAAGTCATAGACACCACAAATTCAGAACTGGGAAGCTAGCGGCACAGACAGGAGAGTGGTGAGGGCATTTGCTTCGGGGTGAGCACCTAGGGGGGAAATATGTCTAGTTACATAGTTGGTAGCCATGAGGAGTTGGAGGAGGAAGCAGACCATGGAATGCCCAGGTGTGGTGGGGGTTGGGCTGCTCTTCTTACGACCCAGAACACGTACATCCTTGGTGATGTTCCCCTCAGGAGACATTGGCTAAAGATAATTTTGGGTTGTTAAAGCCAGGACTGAGTGTGTTACTGACAGCTAGGAATAGAGGCGAGAAAGGTTGCTGAACATTACAAGGTACAGTACAGCTCCACAGACAGAATTGTCCCACCCAAAAGGGCCACAGCTTGGAGGTTGGGTTTTCACGAAGTAGTTCGCCTCAGACAGAAAGCTCGGTTCCATGTGTGGGGCTCAGTACTTTATCCCAAGCTCCTAGAAGCCACTCAGCACATTTAGCGAATGCCAGGGAACCGTGCCCCCAAGTGTCTCCCAAGTCCCTGCTGAGCAGGTCTTTGTGGGACCCAAGTTCCGAGCCACAATGAGTGTGTTTCAAAGCAGCTCCCTGTGTGCCTTTATACTCCACTAGCCTTTTTTCAATGTTGAGTCCACATAGGCAATCGTTTACCTCCATGCCTGAAAAGAAATGCAGTAAACATGGAGGTTTTAGTGTAAGGAGCAATCAGTATTGAGTGTTGGTTATAACAATGGTGAACGTTGGGTTTGTTTTTGAGGGTAAACAGGGCTGAAAGGGGAGGAAACATGAGGGATAAGGCAGTTTCAACCAATTAAATATTTTAAATGCAATTTTGCGATTTTGAGTTTATATGAAAGGAATCCTTTTGAGAAGTCTGCGACTCAGAGCAGGCTCAGTGGGTTTGCATTAGGCCATCTGAGGGGGCTGTTGCACAACAAAGCCACTTGCTGAACTAGGGAGCTAAGAGTGTCAGGTTGTCACAAACCAATACAGTGGCTTTCTAGTTCACAGATGCTCCTCCCTCCCAAGGCCCGGGTGGAGTGATGAGTTGAGGGGATGGTACATGCTCAGCATCTTCCTTGGTGGAATCCTCGTGGTGAATACATTTCATCACACACACCCTGCTCATCATGTGGGGGGACAGTCCGGTGGGGCTGCTCTCAAGCTGACACCTCACTGCATTAGAAGGATCCTGTAATGGATGTGAGGGCATAGGAAGAAAGGCATGTGCTCAGGAGTGTGTGTCTGTGGAGATCTGAAGTGTGTGTGTGTGTAAATCCCCCCTCTTGTGTTCATCTCTGCTTCTGTAGACTGATTGGCAATGTAAGATCTTTATGAGGGCTCCGAAGAGTAATTTGTTTCTGATCCAGGACTGAGTAATTAATTTTAGAAACCCTGCATGTATGTATGTATGTATGTATATACTTTGTCTTTAAGAATCACATTGTGCATTCAGAACCGAGGTGGCTGTGCACTCACACTCCATTGGCCATAGTTCCATTGGCTACTCCTACCCTTACTGTCCTTTCTCTTTTGCCTGCACCTCAGATTTACAACCAGTGTGATGTATTTCCCTGTGGACCTGCAGGCATGTTTTTGAAAAAAGGTAACTGGAATGAAAGTTCATGAATGTGCTATCAGCCAGTCAAAACCGGTTTCACCCGCTTCCTTTCTCCTTGTAGATCGAGACGCTACCAGACGGGCTGTTCCAGTGCAAGAAGCTGCAGTGTCTGTTTTTGGGGAAAAACAGCCTAACAGCTCTGTCCCCTCTGGTGGGGGAGCTGTCAAACCTCACCTACCTGGAACTCACTGGGAATTACCTGGAGACACTGCCTCCTGAGCTGGAAGGGTGTCAGTCCCTGAAACGGAACTGTCTGATTGCCGAGGATAGTTTGCTCAATACTCTTCCACTCCCCGTGACAGAACGTTTGCAGACATGCTTAGATAAATGTTGACCTAGAGGTCAGACATGGCAAAAGCAGTTTTAAAGTGAGGCCCTGGGGCTTGAAGGAGAGTGAATTTTCCTGATTATGTAGATGTCAAATAGCTGATGGTTATGACATACCATAACCAAAAACCTTACCGAATAACCCAATCTCCAAATCAAGTTTGGGGTTTTGTGAATAACTGATCTTTAAATTATTGAGATCTTATTAAAAGAAAGAACAAAAAAGAAAGAGCATGCATTGAAGTGGACTGAGAGTTGTGCAATTATGGAAGCTTTACCTTTTCAAGTTTAATGTTCAGGGCTGTTTTTCCTCCCCTCTCCTTTTAGCCCATCCATTACTTATTTGCACACTGTTTTCCTGAGACTTTCTAACTTGATAATGAACACCAAACCCATGAGGCCTCATCAGCATAAATGCCTTTAGCTATGTTCTCCATTGGCTTTGATTGACAGTCTCCCAGTTTTTAAGGGCATGTCATGCTTGGCTTACCTCCCACTTCCTTTCTCATTTTACTGGACTCTTCATCTGGTTTTCTCTGAACAACAGTGAACACCCTGGGAGAATGCTAACATTTGGCATTTTCCAAGATTAGGAGCCAGGGTTCCTAAAAATTAATGTATTCTCCAAGTTGTCTTCTTGTCTATCGTCAAAGCCTTTTTAAAATACGTTAAGAATTTTTATATAAAATATAAAATATTTTCTACTGTATGATCTCAGATTCTACGCCTCCCAGAACACTTTGTAAGGTACAGTGAACATGTGCATCTCTCAGAATTTACTAATTCTCGGTTTGGGCTAATTATGATTCTTGTGTTTGTATGCTTTCTGCTCCAAAAAGGTTTTGTACTCTGCAACTAATTACTTTGGATGACAAAAAGCCTTGTTTTTCCCTAAAGTCTTCGAGGGGTCTCTGTGTGAGAGGACAGCTGCATCATCTACCTCTCCTTGCTGTTGTGCAATCCTACGGGTACACTCCTTGATTACTGATAAGCTGTGATGGAGGGGACAGGGCAAGATCTAGACTGGAAAGTTGACTAGAAAATACTCTGTAGAAACTTAGTAAGCATTAAATAAAAATATAGGGTGTCCCTCTATCTACATGATCTCTTGGTGTGATTATGATGGAAGCTGTCCCCGCCTAAGTGAGCTCATTTAACTGACACCCATCTCATGCCTTTTAACTCCTGAAATATATCTTGCTCCTTTTGACAGAGACCTTTGTGTTTGGCCCTTTATTATGCATACCATTGAATACATAAAATACACTGGCTCACTCTGGGGCAATGAACATCATAGTGTGCTTTTCTCTGTTGGGTCTAGGCATTATGAACCCACCTCTTTTTGGACTTTTAACTGTCAGGTAATCTATTAACTGCATCTACACAAGACTGGAAAACACTACGGGTCAAGAATCTTCAAAACACAGAACTGTGGTATGGAATAGTTTTTCTCTTTAATTTGTTCTAGAAAGATAGATGAGTCTTTCAAGTATAAGAAATCCCTCTTCTCTTAGCTACCACATATGCCTGATGTTAAGAGAAAAGAATTACACAGAGGAAACTGGAGTAGGATTAGTTACAAAGAATATGTAGAGGCCCAAAAGCTGCCTAAAGCTCTGTGGATGGCAAAGAACAGATTAAAGATAGACACCTTAACAAAGCTTGCCCTCATTAGAACATCCAAGTTCTCAGGGAACCAGGCATGACCAGGGCAGCTGTCTCTGGGACCTCACCAGGGTCTTCTTACTTTTACTTTTTTAAAAATGTGAGTTGATAATAAATGTCTTCAGTAGAATCATCATGTGGACCAATTCCAGCCAATAGTTGGCTGGAATTTTCTGAAGTTTTGAATGTCAGTGATTTATGTGAAGGAGGTTTCAATATTATCAACCATACTTCATATGAAAAAAAAAAATCCCACCCTCTTTGTAGGAAAGAAATTCAAAACACAATTAAGATTTTCTAACCTACACCTGACAAAAGAGAACTTCCCCACACCTTGTTTTCCAGTGCAACTGACTCTTCTACCTCCTCTAAGCAATTCCCGGGAAGGGTCAGCCATGAGGTAGAAGCCACTTCCCCCACACTAGGCTGTTTTTACTGCTGGAAACGATGTAGCTCTTGATATCACAGTTCTGAGATGTCTTTTGTATTTAATGCTTGTGCCGCAATGTTAGCTTGCTGTACAAGCTAACTAACACTAAGGCAATGAACAGTACACTACTGCCTGCCTGATGGAGATCCGGTGTTAGTACTGGCATCTCTGTCTGTGTTGATGGCCACCTAATACCTAAAAGAATCTTAAATGAAGGAGATGAAATCTTCCAAATTATCATGAGACTTCCCCAAAGCCAAACATAAAGGATCAAAAGCAAAATTAGGCTTATGATACAATGGAATACTTTCATTGTATTTGCATCCACTCACAAATACGGAGACGCACACATCTCATGTTTTCAGATTCCATTTAGGCTAGTCTAAGAATAGCAACTTTTTAAAAATTCATTAATTTTAATCATGAAACATCCCATCTCATGGTGGTATTTAAAAACCAAACACTATCTTAGTTTGAAAAGATGCTATGTTTCCCTCATGGACATCAAGGCAGATCTCTGTGGTGATATTGATTCTGCATTTTCATTTTGATCTCCAGTTTATCACCATGTTTCTGTGTTATTAATGACAGGTTGAGTCAGGGTACCTGAAATCCTTGGGGTCTCAGTGAAGTGGAAGGTCCAGTTTATGTGCTGCAATATGCTAAAGCAGCTTACGTATACAACATCATTCCTTGATGAAATGGTTCTGCTCATGTTTTATAGTTTGAATGTCATGTTTAATTAAATGTTGTACTAATATCAATGGGTTCATTACTATAGCCAAACACTTATTTATCTGTAGACTTGACGTTTTTTTCCTTATACTTTCAATAATATTACCTGTCCATCTTTATATTCAAGTAGTGCTGGTTCACCCACAGTGTATTTGTCTTCACCCACCTCACTAAATCTGAGGTGTATTTATGCTATAGCATTTGCAGTGTCACCAAGCATGCTCAGTCCTTCATTCCTACTATAAGAACCCAGCTTCTGGTTCCTTCGTTTTCAGTGATTGCATGTCGCATTAAAAACTGCATTGCTTCCTGGAAAATAGAGGAAACTAATTAGAGAGAGAAAGACTTATTATGCATCATGAAGGAAAAAAATTCATATACATAGACTGTGTAAACAAGCAACTACTGCAGAACGTCCTGGGTGTAACCGTGTCTGTGTGTACCTGTGTGGTGTACTGCAGCAGGGGAAAGTGCAGAATGGCTCCCCTTCTGTCTCTAGCCCACAGCTTCTACATCCAGTGACAGTTGTCTACTATGTAACTTTTGCAGTGGACTTCATAAACTATATTCTCTTCAACTTTTTATAAAAAATATGCACAATTTCATCAACATGGAAGTATTAACACAGAGTATATGAGCCAAAGTACTGAGTTGAGATGGCTTCTTGTCTAACTTAATTTCATATTTAAGTTTTAGATTTAATGCAAAATACACCATAGCTGAGAAAAACAATTCTGAATGCCTTCTGCATGTTCATTGTTTCTCACAGATGTGGTGCAATTTTAAAAATGCAGAAGTATAGAGTTAGAATGGGTATGTCTGTGATTCTGTCTGTCATGTCTCAGTCTTTAACACTGTACAATAAAACTAAAATTCTAACTTTCATTCTAAGTAAAATAATGGAGACTCTTGTTGGAGCCCAGTGAAGCCTAGCATTTGTTACTTTATCTTTACCGTATTTTTGGAAATGTGTATCTGGGTTTTGCTTCTGGAATGAATTACTAGAAAATGTAAAACTGTGTTCAATGTTTCTGGCCCCTGGGTTTAAATCCCTACATTCTGTAGATTTGGGTAAAATCTGCTGTTTTTAAAGTATCCTTTGTGTAAAAAGATTAGATTTTTATAATAAATGGTAAATGAGATGAATCACAGGAAACTAACCAGCCTCCGTTTCGCCTTGTTCTTCCCATTGGAGCTCAGTGTCTGGTGGCAACTGTCATCTCCCACACTTCTCAGCCCTTACGTTTTCTGAGTGTGCAGCAATGGCCATGGAATAGCCAGCCTTAGGCACTGGCATGTGCAGGAGATGGGGTAAGAGCGGTCCATGCCCCCTGTGATCACTGTTCAAACCATGCTGCTCAGGAAGCTCCAGGTTCAGATGCTCAGAAACCAGCTCTGCCCCCTCTTCATGTGCTACTAACACCAGTGCTGAACAGAGTAGCAGATAAATGAAATCTAAGTAACTGTAAAACAGTTCACGGCAGAGAGAGGAAACTGAGTTACTAGACAAAATATGCATGTGATAATTGGAATCAAGTACTTTTCTTAATGGGGCTGGGAAAAAAAGGCTGAACACAGGTAAACCACTTGCCACCCAAGCAGAGGATCTGAGTGTGGGTTCCTGGCATCGAGTAAAGCCACATCTGTAACCCCATGCTCTTACAGATGGGAGGTGGTGGCAGAAGAATGCCCAGAAGCTCAAGGACTCAGATCCCTGAGGTTCCCTGACCTTCACACTCAAGCCATTGTATGAGTGCACCTATACATGTATGTCCATGCACATGTGTGCGTGTACACACACACACACACACACACACACACACACACACACACACACGATAAACTTTTTCTTATTCTGTTACATGAGTGACCTGACACATGTTAGAAAGCTGGCAACAGAGCTCATCTCTTCAGGCATTCCTCCTGAACCAGAACACAAGCTAAAGTAGCTGGGGTTGTATACTGCCCCAGGCCATGGCCTCCCCTAAATGTGTAGGAATGGGAAATACATTTTACAGCTGCAGTCATGGTTGCCACAGGCTGCCCCAGCCTTCTGGGAAATGCTTAGGTGAATTGACTGGCAGCCCCCAGGAGCCTGCTGCAGGCAGAGGGACAGCTGCTTGTCAGTGTTTGCTTCCTCGGTTCAGGACCGTGTCTCAACCATGTGCTGAACTTAACTGGGAAAGGGAGGCTGTGTGGGCCACTCCAAAGCTGAATTTGCATCTCCAGAGTTGCAGCTTTTCAATTTTTGCTTCCTTCCCTGGACTCTGTTCCCACTGGGTAATCCCTGCTCCTACAAGTATCCACAAGACAAAAAAGGATCATAAGAACAGCCATTTTTTGACATCTTTAAAAAGTTCAGTCCCCATCTGCTCTGGTGTTGCCTCCTCCTTGACTCAATGCCTAAGCTTTTCTGTCTCTACACATCCTACAAAGCCTGCACTGAGGTTTTCTGAGTGTTTTAATACTTAAATTGGGTGCTTATGTGCAGTGCCTGTGAGGACTCAGCACGCATTATTTTTTACTCTCCACCTCCCTCTGCTGCTGACAGGAGGGTAACTCAAGCATCCTCAGATGCTGTCTACAGTCAGTGTGGCTCCCTGTTCGTTCCTTACTGAGGGAACAGAAAACAGACTCCATGCTTTCTGTGAACTCCAAACCTCCCAAGACAGCCCTCACTAACTTTTTCCTTCAAAACCCTCTTCTATCCAGCTTGTCCCACATTCTAAATCCTCCTGGTAATTTCTCTTCTAGAAGTTGCCAGCCAATGTGGCATCTCAGACTCAACCTCTCTAAGCTTTCCTACGATCATCCAACCTGCACAGTTACCTTGACCAGTCTTCTCGGCCATGGAGTAAGGGCCTCAATGCCACATGGTAAATCACACCTATGAGACTAAGAAGCAGCCCAGGTTAGGCAGCAGCCTTTTGGGAGACTAATTTCTTTTCTGGTTTGGTCTTTTAAACAATTTCCTTCCAGCTCAGGTTTAGTTTCCCCTTGCCTTGGCCTCACCAGGTCTCCGTTATTCCATCTCAAAGGAAATGCACTAAGAAGGTGCCATGCAGGGCCTCCTGGCACCAGGACCACACTAGCTCTGAGCCCTGTGGGTCATTAAGAATTTGACACCCAATTAAAAAAAAAAAAAAAAAAAAAAAAAAAAAAAAAAGGACAAACATGGTTTGAACAGCCAACACCAACATAGATTTGGTAAAAATGAAGAAACTACTTTTCTGTAAATAAGAGTGGGCTTTGATGTCAACTATCCTCTCAAATATGATTCTGCAAGAGAAACTAAAAGACTGGGGGGAATTTGGAGGTATAAGGAGAAAGAAACCTCACATCTCAGCCTTTGTGTCATCCATTCTCAGATGTCAGTCATCTTCTCC